CTCCAGCTCGTTCCAATTCCCACCGAGGTGTCCGCGAGTGCGACACGCGATTCTGCTCCTTAAGCCTGATCTACGATGTGCCTGTTTCGATTAGAAACATTCTATTTTATGTACGCAGTTGAAAAATTTGTGTCAAACTTCACAGATATCGCATATCCCAAACGGTCCACACAAATTTTCGTGTTAATTTAACATAATATGGACATGTTAAATGATCACACTAATACTCTGTTCATATTTTAACACGGAATAAATGCAAATCTCAAAATAATTTGAAATAAATCTGTAAAATTAACATATTTTTAATGACAAAATGAATTTAAAAATGTAATTTTTACATTTTACAGATGTAATAAGTAAAATGACGGTTCGAAAGCACTTTCACTTATGTTATATAGAATAAAATCAACATTTTATTCTGTAAATTTTAACAGATAAATTTTGCTACTAATAAAATAGAACATATGTATTGTCAGATTAAAAAATAAGTATACTTTAATATTTTAACATTTCTTTTCAGTTATTTTAATAATTTTACATTTGAGGTCAATCAACACAAGAGCAATATGTTAAATTAACACATGTACGCGTTAAACATTTAACACAAAAATTTTAACCGGCATTTTTTTAACAAGAAAAAAACAAATTTTCCAACTGTGTAGAAATCTCTCTAAGAAAAACGACAGCAACCAATTTTGGGGCCCACAATTAATAATCGTATTATTTGGATTATTTATTACTTATTTTATCTATATCCAAGATTTTTAAGTAATACTAATCAATTCTCTCTATTAGTTCTGTCGATATTCAGTAACGCAAAAATAATTTCCACTTAAGAGGCATTAACCGAAATGTTAAGTTGCTTAACTAAAAAAAAAACGGTCAAAATTTTTCCCAGAGAGTAGAGAACAATCCAAATAATTCGATTACTAATTGTGGGCCCCAAAATGGGTTGCTGTCTTTTTTTCTCCCACAGCTCTTTAAGTTGCCAGTAATAGATAACAATAATCAAGCTTTTTAGACGACATTAACCGGCCAGTGTTTTAATACAGAAAATTTATTGCGAGATATATTACCTCATCCAGGGTTTAAACCTGGACTTCCCTTCCCTCTAAGTGGGCGTCTCACATTCTATTTTATATAAGCAAAGCAAAACGCTCGAGAAACCTGTCAACAATGTACGATCGTACAATTTAGCGACTTGTGCAAATTTGTTAACCGTATTCGTTGGCTACAAAACAGAATTTCTACACTGAAAGAACCGTATATTAATAATAAATGTAAGAATTTTTTGTGTCCGGTCTTAATAAATATTTCTTTATAGTTAATACATATTTCTTTATAGTTAATACATGGTATATTAAGAATTACCAATATTATATATTAATTGATGATATTTTTACTGTACGGTCACGTACATTACTATTTAATATCACGAATTTATATTAACATTTATATATTTCTGACAAAGTAATCGAGTTCAAACTTAGGGTATATTAATAATTATTAAAGTATTTTTCTCGGTGTAGACGTACGGAGCACATTGTAGATTAAGTTTTGCCGGCGCGTCTCCGCGAGAGATCCGCCAGAATAAATTCTACAAACCGATACGAGACTTCGTCCGCGTATAGGACTCTGCAGCTTCGGGTCGAATCTTTATCGGTGACGGTCAAACATTTTTTCCTACGATAAGATTAACCTTCTTTTACTAATCGAAGATAAGAAAAAAAGCGCCTGACCGGGCACTTCTATTGTCCGGAGAACAAGGCTGTCGTTAGTTAAGATTAGAAATTTCGATAGTTAGAGTCTGGAGAGACGAGATTCTAGAAATTACTGTCGCAGCGTGACGCAGTAGGTTTCCCCATGCCGTCACCCCCATGGCGAAACGTCAGGTCGACGCGCACGATCCTGAAAGTAAACGCACTTTTTCCACGCCGCCTCGGCGCGGGAAGAATGCGGCTGGCGTCACGCGTGGGTAATCGGCGCTTTTGCAAGCTTTCATGAATGCCCGCAAACCTGGCGAGCGAGGCCGCGCGATTCCGAGTAAAAGACCGTCACTGACATACGCACGCGATCGCGCCGCGATTCATTAATAACGTACGACTGCGTCGTACGTCGAGTCTTCGTACGTGCCAATGAAATTATTAATAGAAGAAACATAATGAGACGTTCGGGTGAACGTTAACGAAGAGAGAGAGGAAAAGAGTACGCGACGCTCGTCGAACATTAGAAAATTGTTCCACGAAACGTTTCGCGATGAGATCTGCAGAAGATAATTTCTGTCGGCAACACTATTTAATTCGTTTATCCGATGCAAATTTTTCCTCGGTGTAGTCTTTAAGCAGTGGGGAAACAATTACAAGCGAGTTGAACCGAGACTGAAGCTAATCCACGTAGGTACAAAGCGGACGTTAGTCGACGATGTGGTCAAAATGACCGAAAAGTACTATTATCCGAGAATAACCGTTCGCAAAGTATGAAAGGCCGACGATTAACCGCGGAAAATCTCCCCCCCGAAATGCATCGGGTTATCGGGCGATCCGCGTGCCGCGACTCTTCCGGCGAGGTGGAAGCGTGGACGAGAGAAACTGGACGGCCATCGCGCGGACTTTTTACGCAGGCTCCGCGCAAACACGCGGGGAGACGGCGGCCGCGTTATCAGCGAGGTAAAGCATGACGCGATGTGGGCGCAGATAAAACGCGGGTAAAACTGATAAAATTAATATCTCTATCCGCACACCCGAGATGTTACGACGCGGCGCTTATCGTGCTTTTTGTATTTCTATCGCGCGCGCGCGCGCGATAACCCGCGACAAAACGCCGTGTTCGACAAGGGATTCGACAAGTCGGACATTAACGAGAAAATTATTTACCCCCCCCCCTCCCTCAACTCGGATCTTTTCCCGTTCGAGAGTATCGCGACATCGATCGTCGCTACCAAAATAAATTCGATCGGCGCTCTAAGCTCCGTCGATCAGTCGCGGCATTAAAATTCGAGCTTTAGCCTCGTTTTTAAAAACTGCCCAGCAATTTTAAGTCGGATATCGACTGCCGTCACTTGTCGCCGTGAATAGTCACGTGAGACAGAGGCATGAAATATCATTGAACCGCCGCTATAAATACATCTGGGAAATAAGAACGCGGACTTAACATTTAGCGAGATCTCAAGGCTATCGATCGATCGGCGTTTAAGATATGCGTTTTATTCTCGATGAAATAAAAGGACAGAAAAGAAAAAGGAACGATCGCCGATCGATCGATCGATGGCTGGATCGACTTGAGAGCCGAACGTCGCGGACAAAGGGAAGAAGCGAGGCCGACGAGTACAGACAATTGATCGGAGCAAAATATACGTTAAAAAATGCACTAATATCTCCAAAATTTTAATTAGAAAATTCGCCCGGTTAATTTCCTTCCTGGAAACATTTAAAAATCTGAAAACATTTGCAGGTCAAGATTTGGGAGAATCGCGGAACAAGATTTAAGTCCTCGTCGAGCTCGGGCGGAAACTGAAAAAAAGATTCGCCACGTACGATAATAATTATTTCACCCACGTTAATCCCACGGCCGACGCGCGGAGTTTCGAAAGTAAATATTATTTCCGAAATGTAAGAGGTTACTTTTCTCACGTCCTACGCACCTGCAGACCTAATTGACCAAAGAAAACATTTGCATTCCCCCGACGCGAAAGACACAAATTGATCCGTACATTTCAGTCGAAGCTAATGCCAACGGCACACGATACCATTTCTCTTACTGGATTGCTTACGAGAGCCAATCAGGATTTAGCCTCGAGTCACCTAATACAAAACTCTGCATCCTTATTGATTCTCGTGAGCAGTCCAGTAGGAAAAAAGTAGAGAAGATAGTAATAGTAAAAATAATGTAAATATACGAAAAACTTTTACTATTGTGACACCAACACCTAGTCAAGGTTCTTAGCCCTTTTATTCATTGATTTTTAATCGTCCGGGCCGTGTTCTCCTATTAAAAATAGAATCGTTACTAAAACCAGCGTGACAACCGAGGCCCGGTTTCACCAACGTCTCTCAACTTCAGGCTGTTACTCCAACTGTTACTCCAGAAAGCGACAGACGTGAATTAAACCAAGATTAAAGTTAAGCAACGGTGAAGCCCGGGCCTGACGGGTTAACGTCACGCCCGGTGACGACGGGACACTTGGTAGAGCCCGCGAGGAGCAGCCGCGTCGGTCATCCTCCACGGAAAGACATATTTAGCCATGCGAAGTAGCTCTCGTGGGAGGAGGCGGTGGCGGCGGCGGCGGCGGCGGACGAAGGTCGCGGGAGACGTGCCCGGCTGGCGAGAGAAGCGTTTATTAACAACCGCGTCGTGCGCCGTCCTCCGGGTTGAGGTTATGGCCGCGGAGGCAGGCGAGCGGGCGAGCGAGCGGCCGCCTTTTCGAGAGGGAGCCAGCCGTGGTAGCGCCGCGACGTTAACTTTCACGGGGGCGAGAGCGAAATTCCCGGCCGCATTCTCCGACGGCGACGCCTCGTCGCCGACGATTATCGCGCGGAGCCGATCGACCGTGGATCGCGGATGGGGAGGGGGGGGGGGGAGGAATCGAGCGGGCGGGCGAGCGAGCGATCGATCGATCGATCGATCCACGCACCTCGACGAACCGACCGAGCTCCGGTTATTACGCGTCAACGCGGCGAGATACGCACGTACGAGCCGTCGTTCTGCGACGCAGTTACGACGCGGCGAGAGATCGATAGCCGGCTCTCGCCGCGCTCGCCTCGGCTCCGGTTCTCGCACGCTCGTGCGAGAGTGGAGTCTCCCATGAGAGCGTCGACGGCGACGGCGATTCGGTCACGCAGGAAGTGACGAGTGCGTGGAATAAGCGGCCGACCTGCGCGCTCATAGCGCGCGGCCGAGAGGGAGCGAGCAGGACGAATGGAAGCGAACGCAGCAAGAGAGACGCGAAAAAGAAGGGGGGAAAAAGAAAAGAGAGGATCACAGAGTGCGACTCCGGCACCTACCTATGGCTTATAGTCCTTTGTACAATAAATAACGACGTGAATGCACGATTTGTGCGTAGATCCGTGCACCGGCTCGGGTCGGAGCGCGCGGGGGGAGGAGCGGGCGAAGGAACGTTGCGTGCCGCGGTAACGACGGGCTGCAACCGCCACACGACTGCCGGTTAATAACTCCGGGGCTTTTCCACCTTTCCCCCTTTCTTCCTTCCTTCCTTCCTTCCTTCCTCTTCCTCCTTTCCTTCCTCGCTCTCTGCAACCGGGGGGGAAACACGCGGGAGACGGACGAGCGGAGCGTGGACTCGAGAGCGCGAACGGGAAACTAAAAACTCTTGCCGGCTCTTTATTCCTCGGTCACACTCGCGGCTACGATACCACACATCCCTCGACGACCACTCCCGCACGACGACTGAGCCGGCAACGCCGCCCATGGTGGGGAACCTCGGCTCGCCTCGTGCCGGGGCTCGGCCGCGCTCGGCCGCGCTCGGCCGCGTCCGCCGCGCCTCGTGCCCGAACCGAAGTATTGATCGGCTCGCGGCGGCCCCGGCATGGCCGCCCCGCCGACGAGGCTGGGTGGGGCAGCGGAGCGGCGCACGGCCGTGTCCCGGGACCGATCCGACGTGCCGCGTCGCGCCACGCTGCACGGCGACGCCGACGACGACGACGGTGACAACGATAACGACGCCGCCGCGACGGTTCCCGGCGTCTTTTTCCCTCCTCCTTCTTTCTTTTCGCTCTCTCTCTCTCTCTCTTTCTCGGACCCACCGTACTTTTCAGCCCTCGCGCGCTCACTCGATCGACAACACTCGCTCGCTTTAATCGCCTCGAAATTGCCTATCCGACTCGCGTCTCTTTCCCTCCAACCTCCTTCGTCGTCTAACTATTCTTTATCTTTTTTACGCCTCTTTTTGCCTCTGACCCGCTCGACGTCTATCACGCGCGTTCCCCTGTCTCTACCTTCCTGCCCTACTCCGCCTCGCGGCTCTCGTCTGAAGCGCGGCGTAATTTCGTGCAAAAATTAACCTGGAAAAGAGATCCTCCTTTTTTCCTCCTCTTCCTGTCGGTACGTTTTTCTCTCGCTCCCTACGAGCTGCCGCGAGAAAAAAAAAGAACCGCGGCTAATCGTTACGGAGGACGCGCTGCAATTTCTTTGGAAAATCGCCGCTTTGCGAATATAAATTGCGTCGGTACTTCGCCCCATTTCTTTTTCGACTTATACAGGGTGAGTCTTTCCATATCCGACAAAATTCTTGAGAAAGTAGAACGGATCGAGATGAACGGAAAAGTCCTGTACCATTTT